TTTCTCTCTCTCTCTCTCTCTCTCTCTCTTTCATTCTTTCTTTCTCTCCTCCTCTGTGATTCTGCTTTGCAAATAACAATTAAATGAATAAATTCTTTTTTAAAAAAAAACATGTTTAAAAATGTCAAAAAATGAAGAATGAATTGGAAGAGTAAGGGTCAAAAATCCTTTAGATTTCCTGTTTATATACTTCCTTACTAAAGCATATTGAGATTCAAAAATCTTAGTGTCACATATTTGTTTCTCACTTTTTTCTTATGTTGTTCATTAATGTTTTTCTATTTCAAAAGACAAAGAAGTTCCAAAGGTCATGAATATTTGCATTTATTTTTTGAAATTTAGCTACATGTAATAATTGTAGAATGGAAATTAAAATACAATACTTCCTATACCACTGGAATATTTCCCCTCTTATCCATGGATCAATTAAATATATGATTTAAGAATGAAGATCACAAACAGTATTATTTATTATAAACTCTTAAGAAAGGGTGACAAACTTTTCCTTCCTTCCCCATTCCACCCTTACAACTTTCACAACTAAACTCAAGCTCTCTTTCTTTCCTCCATCTCTATAGTTATCTAATTGTCACATAAAATCTTCTAATTAAAAACCAACATGTTAAACTTTTCAAATCTTAATTATAAAATCATTAGTATGGTTTCCTGAAATAAAGAAGATTATTATCATTGTTACTATTTTCTTCAAGAAAAGTAGAGAAAAAATGGTTAGATTGCCAGTTTGGAATAATTTCTAGTTGTCATTGGAAGCCACAAATGCAAAATGAATCTTTCAAACATGAAATAAAGTAAGTACTTACTGATACATAATGCACTGCTGGGAATGAAAAATCCTCCACCTCTGTGCTTTGCGACTTCTTGTCAAATGAATAGTATCCTGGGCATTCTTTCAGACTTGTAAGCTGACTAAAGTGAGAATGCTTAAGGATTTAAAAGAAACTAGTTGAACAAGTTGGGATGGGTACGTGTTAACCAATGGTATGGTTTGAGATGAAGAACCACTTGATCAGTCTTTGTTGCAGGAAGTAAGAATTTCCGGGTTCTGGCTAAGTAAGTGGGAAACATTATCAAGTCCACAACTGGGCAACACCCCTTGATATTTTGAGACATTTTCTGTTTGTGTTTCCAGAGGTAACCTCTTCCTTCTGAGTCAGTACAAGTCTGGTCTCAGGCCCTGCCATTCATCTCTCTCAGAGACAAGCCTCAAACAAGATCTGAGGTTTTCATAAAACGTCAGTTCACGCTTGACTCATTCTTTTCTTAGCACAGTGGCACAAGTGCTCCTTACATCTGGTCTAACAATTATCTGTGTCTACCCTAAAAGGGGATTCTGCTTGAAGGTGGGGAAATGAAACTTATTTTGAGTCCCATGCCATTTGCAAAGGCTTCACTGTTTATCTTCCATCTGTGTGTGCTGCTGTTTCACTATAGTTGTCTGCCTTCTCTGACTTAGCTGAATTTTCCTTCCTGTTAACTTATCATTATGTTTCCTATAGAGTCTTTGCCTTACATCTCAAAAAGGTCTCAGCCTTCGTATTGCAGCTTTCAAGTCACTTAATTAGCATTGGGCAATACATGCTCTGAAAACCTGTACCCTAAGGTAATCTCCAGGATGCACCTGCATCCCATGCTGCCACACTATCTGAACAACCCTTAACCTGCAACGTCTCCTCAGGTAAGCTTCTAGTTTCAGTTTCTCTTATTTTCAGGCTTATAGATGCGTTTCTCTGGGTAGCGAATGTTTTGAGGTTCAAATCATGCACTTACCCACACCTCTGCAAAACTGTGGTATTCAATATTTATTGAATCCTTGTTTTCACCAATTTAACGACTCACATTTCTGCTTATTTTTCAACCCTTCTTTCACTGTGAAAAAATGTTTCTAAAAGAGGATAATGTTAATACAGTCAATAAATAGTATATATAGGGAAATAGTCAAACTGGCTAATAAATAGAAAAGTCGATTCGTTTATCAGTTTTTACTGATGCGCAATGAAATGTTACAAGCTTGATTGCTTAAAATAACAGCTGTTTATTATCTGTTCTTTATCTGTAAGACAGAAGTGAGGGTGAATTGGGCTGTGTGTGTTCTCTGCTTAGAGTCTCAAAGGCTGAAAGTGAGGCACACACGGGCTAAACTTTTTTCTGGAGGTTTGATGAAGAAGCAATCCAAGTTAATTTTGTCTATTTTCAGAATTCCATTTCTGATAGAAAGACTAAGGCCCCCATTTCCTTTAAGAGGTAGCCCACATCCCTTAATGCAATTCCCACTTTCATCTTCATGCCAGCAATATTGTATCTTTTCACACTTGGGATCTCTGACTTTCCTGCTACTGGGAAGAGAAAATTGTCTGCTTCTAAATGGCTTTACTTTTAAGGTATTAGATTAAGCCCATTTAGGTAATGACCCTTTTGATTAACTTAGCCAACTGGTCAGTAGCAGCAATGGTCTGAACATCTGTTTTCTCTCAAAATTTCTATGTTGAGCTGGCACTGTGGCATGTCGGGTAAAGCCGCCACCTGCAGTGCTGGCATTCCATAAGGGCATCAGTTTGAGTCCCGGCTGCTCCACTTTTAGTCCAACTCTCTGCTATGGCCTAGAAAAGCAGTAGAAAATGGCCCAAGTCCTTGGGCCCCTGCACCCTCATGGGAGATGCGGAAGAAACTCCTGGCTCCTCGCTACTGGCTTTGGATTGGTGCAGCTCCAGCCATTGCAGACAACTGTTGAGTGAACTAGTGGATGGAAGACCTCTCTCTCTCTCTCTCTCTCTCTCACTCTGCTTCTCCTTTTTTCTCTGTGTAACTCTGACTTTCAAATAAATAAATAAATCTTAAAAAACAAATTCCTTCACTGAAAACCTTCTATCAGGGCCAGTGTTGTGGTGGGCAGATTACGCTGTTGCTTGCAAAACTAGCATACCATATTGGGAGTGCTGGTTGGAGTCCCTGCTGCTCTGCTTCTGATTCAGCCCTCCACTAGCGCTCCTGGAAAAGCAGAAGCAGATGAGCAAAGTGCTTGGGCCCTTGTCACCCTCATGAGAGACCAGGATGGAATTCTAGGCTCCTGGCTTCAGCCTGATCCAGCCCCAGCCATTGCAGCCATTTGAGGAGTGAACCAGAGGTTGGAAGGTCTCTCTCTCTCTCTCTCTCTCTCTCTGTTTTTCCCCCTCTCTCTGTCACTATGACTCTCAAATGAATAAATCTTAAAGAAAGACTCGAATCCTCAATGTGGTGCTGTCAGGAGGTAGGCTTTAGGAGATTATTCCATCACAAGGTTGGGGCCCTTGTAAACGAGATCTCAGAGAGCTGCCTTAGTCCTTCCACAGGAGGATGCAGTGAGAAGTTGCTTTCTATGTCTATTCACTGACACTGAACCTGTTGCCATCTTGATCTTGGACTTCCTAGCCTCTAGAACTGTAGGAAATAAATGTTTGTTGCTCATAAGCCATCCAGCCCATTTTTCAAGTTTGCTTATTTATTTTTATTTTGAAAGACAGAGTGACAGAGTGAGAGAAAGAATATGTGTGGGGGAGAGAGGTAGAGATCTACAGAGATGGAGACACACAGAGAGATCTTCCATCCACTGGGCCCAAAATGGGATTGTGCCAGGCTGAAGCTAGGAGCCAGGAGCTCCATCCTGATCTCCCAGATAAGTGGCAGGAACACAAGAATTTGGGCTATCAAAGGCTGCCTTCCAGGCTGCATATTAATAGGAAGATGGATTGGAAGTGGAGACTGGACTAGATCCCAGTAACTCTGATATGGAATGTGTGTGTCCCAAGCCAGCACTTTCTATGCTCCAGATGCCTGCCCTTATACTTTTGTTAGAGCAGCCTGAACACATCAAGAGAGTGGCCTTAATCCTATCTCCAAACTCTCTTGTGCTATGGAATGTGAGATAATCATGTGTATGATTTCTCATTGTATTCACTATGGGATTAGGGTTAAATAATTCTACCAACCAAAACAAAACAATTTCTGTATACTTTAAACTTTGTATTTCATAAGGCCAGGCAAACTTAGTGAAAATATGGTCAAATTGCTAATGCAGCTTCAGAAAGCAAACTTAAAGTGATGAGGGAAAATTATCTATACAAAGGAGTCTGTTGGTGGGTGAGACATCACAGTTTGTTCAGAGAACTGTGAATATTTTTTAATAACTAAAATGAAAAATAGAGGTAGAAGAGCAAATGAGCAAAAAACAAGATGGGAATTTTAAATAGAAAATGAATAATCATGAAATTGGTGTAAATCAAGAAAATGGATTTTATCTTTACTCTAGATGTCAAGAGCTCTTAATACCTCTTTGTCCCAGATGCTCCACTTCTGATCCAGCTTCCTGATAGTGAGCCCGAGAAAGATGCAAATGATGGTCCAAGTACTTGGGGCCCTGCCACCCACACCTGGATGGTATTCAGAGCACCTAACAGATGGAAGATATCTTCTCTCTCTCCCTCTCTCTCTCTCTCTCTTTCACTATGCTTTTTTTAAAAAAATAAATAATTTTGAAAATATTTATTTATTTATTTGAAAGTCAGAGTTACACAGAGAGAGAAGGAGAGGCATAGAGAGAGAGAGAGAGAGAGGTCTTCCATCCGCTGGTTCGCTCAACAGTTGGCTGCAATGGCTGAAGCCAGGAACCAGGATCCAGGAGCTTCTTCTGGGTCTCCCATGCAGGTGCAGGGGCCCAGGGACTTGGGCCATCTTCTACTGCTTCCCTAGGCAATAGCAGAGAGCTGGATCGGAAGTGGAGCATCCAGGACTGGAACAGGCACCCATATGGGATGTCGGTTGGCATTGCAGCTGATGGCTTAACCTGCTACACCACAGCACCGGTCCCAATAAATCTTTTTAAAAAATTATGTTCACACTATGCTATAGTCTATTAAGTACATAATAACTTTGTATCTAAAAACACCACGCAAATACCTTAATTTAAAAATATTTTATTGCCAAAATAAATGATAGTGCTTGTCCAAGCCTGCAGTGAGTCTGGATCAATTTGCTGATGGAGCATCTTGCTTTGATGGTGATGGGTGCTGACAGATCAGGATGACAGTTGGTGAAGATTGAGGTGGCTGTGGAAATTTCTTGAAATAAGACAACAGTGAAGTTTGCTGTATAAATTGACTCTTACTTTATTCTTATTTCTAAAAAGTTTAGGGAGAGACAAAGAGAGAGATCTTCCTTCTGCTGGTTCACCCCTCAGTTGTCCGCAATGGCCAGAACTGGGCTTGACTGTAGCATCTGGGTCTCCCATGTGGATGCAGGGGCCCAAGCACTTGGGCCATCTTCTACTGCTTTCCCAGGCCATAGCAGAGAGCTGGATCAGAAGAGAAGCAGCCAGGACGTGAACTGATGCCCATATGGGATGCAAAGATAGGCTAAACCTACTAAGCCGCAGCGTAGACCCCAGTGAATAATTTAACACTGTATAAAAATGTCTTTAAATCTTAAATATTTATTTGTTTATTTGAAAAGCAGAGTAACAGAGAAAGAGGGAAAGTAAGAGAGAAAAGGTGGAATATCACCTGCTGGTTCACTCCCCAATGGCCAGGGTTGGGCCAGGCCAAAGCCAGGAGCCTGGAACTCCAAGTGGTTCTCCCTACTGGGTGCAGGGGCCCAAGTATTTGGGAAATCTTCTACTGCTTTCCTGGATGTGTTAGCAGGGAGTTGGTTTGTAAGCTGAGCAGCTGGAACTCAAAGTGGTGCTCTGCTATGAGATGCTGGCATTGCAGGTGGCAGCTTAACCCATGTACCCCAAAGTCAGCCCCCCCCCCTTTTTTTACAGGCAGAGTGGACAGTGAGAGAGAGAGAGACAGAGAGAAAGGTCTTCCTTTGCCATTGTTCACCCTTCAATGGCCTCTGCGGCTGGCGCGCTGCGGCCCGCGCACCGCACCTATCTGAAGGCAGGAGCCAGGTGTTTCTCCTGGTCTCCCATGGGATGCAGGGCCCAAGCACTTGGGCCATCCTCCACTGCACTCCCTGGCCACAGCAGAGAGCTGGCCTGGAAGAGGGGCAACCGGGACAGAATCCGGTGCCCCGACCGGGACTAGAACCCAGTGTGCCGGCGCCACAAGGCAGAGGATTAGCCTAGTGAGCTGTGGCACCGGTGCCCCTTCTTAAATCTTAATACAGCATTAAGTCTAGGCTGATATCAGTTTTAAATAATATATTTTGTAATATTTTGTACTTTTTGAACAGATTTTAAGCATTCCTGACATTTGTGATTTATGACTATGTAAGAAAATCTCAACAGCATCATCAGGACACAGCTTAATGTTATGTTTGATAACTTGCAGACAGGAACAAAGTCTTTTTTGTCTTTTTAAGTTATGTGAATGCTGCATTTTCCTTATTTATTAGTTGTAGTGAAAATGTTAAGGCAAGAATATATGGGACCCTGTAAAAGAACATTCATTATAGATATTTCAAAATGCAACCTAATAAAATGTTTTTAGTTTTTGGCATTTTATGGGTTTCTTTTAGTTTTGTTTATAAAACAAATTTTCTAATGAGGTATTAAAAAGGACAAAAAGAAAAAGAAACATGTAAGAGCTCAAAAATTGAGTTGCTTCTCATTTTAAAACCTAGAATGGATTTTTTATTTGTATGATATCAAGGCTTTAAATTATTTCATATTTATAAAGCTTAATGTGTAGGATGAGGAAAACAAAGAATGAGGGATGACTGTGGGGTGAATTTTCCATGAAGTGTTGCCACCAGCCAGTTTAACTAGAGTAGCAGCTTTGCTTACACTAAAATCATTCTTCATTTCCAAGGCGCAGTTGGATATGGTTTTGAATGGGTTATTCTCTTAATCAGAAATTGGGTTTATTCCAACAATCTATCTTGCTGAACATTGTGTGTGAGTTTAGCTTACCTTATCCTATTTTTGCAAGAGAAACAGTTTGACAATAGTCAAATAATTACAGTGACTTTTAGAACAGCAATGTTCTAGTTACTGAACCTAGGAAACTCAGGTTAGAGTAATGGATATAAAATTGCACTAAATACACAGGCCTCTGTATTCTGTTCCTACACTGCCTGTAACTACTGTATGACTTCCCAGAAGTTGTCTTGGCCTTGACCACACATCAGCCAAAACAAGATGTCATTAAAGATAATCTTGTGGGTCCCTCTAGCTCCCACAGCTATGGTTCTAGCATTAATTTCAATCATCTGTAACAAGTTGATTTTTCATTTCCATGAAAGCATGAAGGAATGCTTCCCACAAATCCCCTCTCTGTCAACTAAACATTTTAACAACAACAACAAAAAAGTTAATGAGCATATTCATTTGGGTGGGCAGACCGCTACTAATACATTTTTCTTATTGTTGAATCATGAATGTTTCACTGAGAGACGGTTGTTAACCATGGGCAAAATTTTTGTACAATCTTGTTCTAGCATTATAAACTAGCCCTTTAGTTCTTGTGGCTCCCAAAACTCCATTAAGATTCCACTGGGATTACGTGCTACAGAATGTAATGTCAGCCTAATGGGTTTGTCCACTCTTTTATCACAATAAGTCTCACAAGTTGTAGATTTTTTTCCAGTGAAAAGTCGTGCATATTGTTATAGCATCACCATACAGAAGTTTTTGTTTTGTTTTGTTTTGCTTTTAAACACAAATGTATTTGTAAAATTCACAAAGCAATAAAAATGCCAACACTGTAAAAAATACTTCTTTACAATTACAATGCATTTCAACATCATGTGTACTGATACAGGTTTACAGTAACATATTTTTCATTTTTAACAGACTTTAACCATTATACTTTTCCAATTTATTATTCACCAAGAAAGCCTCACAACATTGTCATAAAATAGAGAGCTTTGTGTCCCACTTGGTGGAGGGAAAACCTGAGGTAAAAGATATTACATAGCTCCTATAAAACCACTTATTAGGTCAAACACCAAACAGAAATAGGGCCTACAAATCCCGTTTTAAAAATTCACTTTTCCATTTCTTTGATTTATTCACAGCCTTTTGTATTTATTAATCTCCTTTGTGTTAAAATGTCATTGAATTGAATTAAGGCAAGAAATATTTAAATCAGTACACATAAATTCACAGATAGTTATACACAAAAAGTTATCACAGTGCTATTAAATACAAATAAAATTATATGAAAGTACATACCCATTGCTATAGAACTTGCATAAGGAAAAGCTATATATATGGAAATATATATAAGACAAAATTACTTTCTTGTATCTAACAAGGAAAGGGTTTAACTTTAATATAAAAAGCCCATCATCAATCAAGTCCATCTTAATAATGCTGAATATATTCTAGAAAGCTTTAGATGTTTCTGTACTACCTACAGATAGCAGGAGTTTAAATTAAGGAAATGTGAGAATTTAGGCTTTTGCTCTGTTTTTTTCTGATGATAGTTCTTTCTGGTCATCAGCTCAGAAACTTGATGACATTTTCTTTTTAAATGGGAAGTGTGCGCATGGATGATACCTTACTGAGATGTAAGGATGACAAGTAGGAGTTTTTAAAGTTATATTCATTTTGTTTAATATATTACATATCAACATACATACATGTAAAACAATGAAACTTTGTCATTAAAAAATGTGACAGGCCATATTTTTCTCCAGTGAATCAGAACAAAAAATCTAGGCTTCACATTTGATGGCTAGAGATGAACACAGGTACAGCCGTACAGTCGCAGCCATGGTGACAGAGATCACAATGTCCTATGATTAGTGTCCATAAGCAAACATAGTGAGAAATATATTAGTGAGATATAAAAATGATTTTATAAATCCAGCTCATGTATTTTTTTACTATATAATTAAAAGTATTTCTAAATCAATTACCTGGCTTTAAAGAATCAAGGAACAATTTTGAAAAAATATAGGAAACTTTATTAAGTCCAAGAACACTAATGATGATGAATAGCACCTAACCCATCTTGAGAGACTGCTGTGCAAGACCTTGTCTGTAAGTACTTTTCTTGTATTAATGCATTTAATTCTCAGAACAACCATGTGAGGTATGGCCATTTTTATCATCATTGAAGAGATGAAAGAGCTTCTGAACAGAGATGTAATTTGTGTAAGAACACATAGCCCATTTATAGCAGAGACAAAGTTCAAGCTCAGGCAGCCAGGCTCAAAGACGGTGGTCTCTGCCACTGTGTCCAACACTAGGCATTGGCTGGCCGTATTTAAGCCCAAAGTCATTCACTTTTTTGACAAAATTGAGTCCATTTATCTTAAAGCTCACCAAGGCATTCACTTCCATTCATTAGGTGCTTAGTTTATGCCAAACACAGTCCTAAGACTTTTATACAAATCAACTCTCCCAACCTGATGGTCTTATAGACAGCTAACCTGTCAGAGAGTTGAAGACTTACAAAAGCACCAGTTGTCATGTACTGATATACATATTTCTAAAAATAATTAAATATCTCATTCAAAAAATTTAGTGTGTTGATCCTGTTACTAATCATTTCATAACCTTAATCCCCTTCATTTGATCCTTCTTGTACTCATACGATAATACTTCAAAGGGTGTTTCTCCTTCTGGGCTGACTACAACTAATGTATGAATGGCAAGACACTGTCACAGAGTAAATCAGAAATACTTCTTAAAAACACAGCATACTATGGCAAAATCAATAAGAAGCGAATTGCTTTGACAGATAACACTCTGATTGCCCGCTCTCTTGGTAAATACAATATCATCTGCATGGAGGATCTGATTCATGAGATCTACACTGTGGGGAAACACTTCAAGGAAGTAAATAACTTCCTGTGGCCCTTCAAGTTATCTTCTCCTCTAGGTGGGATGAAGAAAAAGACCACCCATTTTGTAGAGGGCGGGATGCTGGCAACAGGGAAGACCAAATCATCAGACTTATTAGAAGGATGAACTGAGGTGTCTCCTATGGTATTTTTGTAATCTGGTCAGATAATAAGTGGCAACTACAGTCAAAATGAAATAAACTGTTGTATTGGGAAAACACACACACACACACACACACACACACACACAGCATACTTCCCGAAGTTAGTGCTTGGATGCAAGACATAGTGGTAATGACAAGTTCAATTATATTTAAATACTTTTAAAATGGCACCTCTTGTGGTTAATGCTAATGCTTTGTATGGTTACCCAGGGTACAATTCAAGTTATATTGCAAAGGATATGATCCTCCATTCGAGCCACTGAATGTCCATTCATTGGTTCTAGAAAGTTGAATACCTGAATTCTCAGGGAAGACTGCTGTTTGGTAATTTTTCTAAAAGGATCCCAAGTAGCTTCAGGTATTATATGAGGTATAATTTTGGCATTCCTGGCAGTTCTTCATATCCCGTGGAAAATGTTGTTCCTTCTCTTCATTGAGGGAAGCCATTTTTCAATACTCATCTTACTAAGAAGTATCACAAACAACTCCCCTTGTGAGTGAGGAGAAATTTGAGTGAAATTTGCTGTGTCGTTTTCCCTTGTGGGAGAGACAGTTTGGTCATATGGACACAAAGGCTACCTCATATTAGTCTGGTCCAGGTCCAAAAAGGTTCTTGACATCTAGCAAAAACACTGATCAAAACCAAATGAACATAAATAAAAATACACAAGATGCAGGTATTTCCACTCCATATGCCCTGCATCCAGAATTCACAGACAATTCACACTAGATACCAGTCTTTGAGGCAATCCAATCTCTGTACTTAGTCACTCTTGTGTAGACTCCAGGTTTTTTGGGAAGAGCACATGACTGTCCCCAACTTACTATACCCACAATATACCAGATGTCATGATTATCATAAACCAGAGGTCCACCAGAATCACCCTGAAAAATAAAAACAAATAAAAATTTGATATCATTAACTCTAATCCAGTTCAGTAGGAAGGTTATTGTAATCATCTATCTTCCACAGAAAAAATTAGAAACTGATACATAGATCACAAAGCCTGACAATAAGTAGAGTATATTTTGGTCTCTCAATCAAGTTAAAATGTCATGCTAAATTTTTAGAAAAGATTTATTTTATTTGTTTGAAAGACAGAGTTACAGAGAAAAAGGAAGAGTCAGTGAGAGAGAGATCACACACAAACACACATACACACACAGAGAGAGAGAGAGAGAGAAAGAAAGAGAGAAAGAGAGAGAGAGAATTGGCCACAATAGCCAGGGCTGAGACAGACGGAAGCCAGGAGCCTAGAATTTCATTCTGGTATCCCATGTGAGTTGCAGAGGCCCAAGTACATGGGCCATCCTCCTCCGTTTTCCCAGGCACATTATCAGGGAGCTGGATCCGAAGAGGAGACTTGAACCTGGGCTCATATGGGACGTTGCTGTCCCTGGTGGTGGCTTAACCTGCTGCACCATAACACTGGCCCCAAAGTAGCTGAGACTTGAATTATCTCTTCCATGTGAGATGCAGACATCCCAAGCAGTGGCTTGACCCACTGCACTGCAATGCTTGCCCCATGGGTATACTCTTGATCTGCTTTTCTTTTAGTTGTCTACTTCTAATTTTGTTTTCCTGATGAATTTTATATAAACTACTTTAAATCTCTTTTGGAACAATGAAGATAATGTAAATAAATACTTATAAATGTAGAGATGAAAAGTGTGATCTCAAAAAATCAAACTGCCTGGGTTTAAGATCTAGCGGTATTAATAACTGTGACCTTGATTAAGATCCTTAACCTTTTTTTGAACTATGTAATTAACACACAATTATTTTTAGGTGTTTAAATTTTAACTGAAAAGTGATCCCTCTTAAATATAAGAGTGGGAATAAGAGAGGGAGGCGATGTACAATTTGGGACATGCTCAATCGGACTTGCCCCAAATGGTGGAGTTAGAATCGTGCCAGGGGATTCCAATACAATCCCATCAAGGTGGCATGTACCAATGCCATCTCACTAGTCCAAGTGATCAACTTCAGTTCACAATTGATCACACTGATAGGTCTAAGTGTCAAAGGGATCACACAAACAAGACTAGTGTCTGGTAATACTAACTGATAGAATCAAAAAGGGAGAGAACGATCCATCATGGGAAGCGGGATACACAGCAAACTCATAGAATGGCAGATGTCCTAAATAGCACTCTGGCCTCAGAATCAGCCCCTAAGGCATTCGGTTATGGCCAAAGAGCCCATGAGAGTATTTAAGGCATGGAAAGCCAAGACACTCTGGAAAAAAAAAGAAGACCTAAATGAAATATCTCTGCAAGTGAGATCCCAGTGGAAAGAATGGGGCCATCAAAGAAGGAGGTACCTGTCTCTGAAGGGAGGAGAGAACTTCCACTCTGACTATGACCCTGTCGGAATAAGATCAAAGTCAGTGAACTCAAAAGGCTTCCATAGCCTTGGCAACTCATGACTAGAGCCTTGGGAGATTACTGATGCCATAAACAAGAGTGTCAAATTGTTTAGTCAGCAACAGGAGTCACTGTGTACTTACTTCTCATGTGGGATCTGTCCTTAATGTGTTGTCCAATGTGAAGTAATGCTCTAACTAGTACTGAAACAGTGTTTTGCACTTTGTGTTCTGTGTGGGTGCAAACTGATGAAGTCTTTACTTAATATATACTAAATCAATCTTCTGTATATAAAGATAATTGAAAATGAATCTTGATGTGAATGGAATGGGAGAGGGAGCGGGAGATGGGAGGGGTGCAAGTGGGAGGGAAATTATTGGGGGGGGGAGCCATTGTAATCCATAAACTGTACTTTGGAAATTTATATTTAATAAATAAAAAAAACAGAAAAAAAAGATCCTTAACCTTTTTATGACTCTTCCATTAACTATGTATTGAGTTCCTATTATGTGTCCCAGGCATTTTTAAAAGTTTTATTTATTTATTTGAAGGTCAGAGTTGCACAGAGAGAAGAGAGAGAGAGAGAGAGATCTTCCATCTACTGGTTCACCACCCCACTGCGACCCAGGCATTTTTGTGAATATTGAGGATACAATGGTGACCACAGTGAAAGATCATTGAACTCAAAGAGCTTGAAGTGGGAATGAGATGCAATCTAGGTGTGGCAAAACTCTGGGTCATGAAGGAGCTTGGTCCATGCCTGGTTCTGCAAATGGAAGGGGGCTGGAGAGAGAAGAACAAGGGGGACAAGTGGTATATGATGCAGCTGGAGAGGTAGGGAAGGACTTTTCCATGAAGAGCTCTATGAGCCTTGTTTAGAGGGATTTTTGTTTGTTTTGTTTTATCTTAAGACCACAAGAAGCCATTGAAATGTTTTACTTGAGAGTTTGACATGCTTAGATTAGCATCTTCTTAGAAATCATTCTGGCTTTTGCTTGAAAATGCGTAAGAGAGCATTAGACTGAAAATGAGGAAATCAGCAAGATGGGTAGTGTTATTGACTGTGGGAAGAAAAAGGGATAGAAGACAGAAGCTAAGGCGGCAGGATTGGGGAAGGCAATGGGAACACGGTGATGAAGGGATAGTTAAGAAGGTAATTTCCAATAATTTTCTGGATATGGGATAGGGAGAGAAAGTTTCTAGTCTTCTGGCTTGCTTAATAAAATTAAAGGGGCTAACCCTCACAATGGTACAAAACATAGGAAGAGGATCAGGTTGCATGGGTAGGGGCATAAGAGAAGAATCAGGTGCAGCATTTCAAATCTGAGATGTGTTTGAAATGTCCAAAGTGGAGTTGTTCAATAAGACTTGGATATTTGATTCCAGAGCTCTGAGGAAAACTGGGCACTGAAATCATAAACTTGGGAATTATCTGCAAAAAGATGGTAACTGACACTGTAGAAGATAATTAGATTCTCCAGGGAGAAAGCAGACATTGATGTGGGATACAAATCATTACAAGGCAAGGGAAGATAATATTTTAAGAAAAGGCAGTGTTAAGCATCATCAAATACTATAAAAATGTTAAAAAAAGAATAAGGCCAAAAAAGCATTTGCTGGATTTTAAAAACACAAATGTCAGTGGTGAGTCATTGAAACTTCAGGAAGCACCATTTTAGTGGAGTAAGGGAAGAGAAAACTGATGGAAATGGATGGAGGAATTAATGAGTGGTGTTCTCCGATGATTTTTTCTCCGCAAAAATTTACAGCTTGGGTGCAGGTGGAGTGGCAGAGAGTTTTTCCCAGGTTTGGCACTTTGTCAGACAGAACCATTGGAAAGAGAAAGCAACAAGTGAGCTGGGGGTATAAGCAATAATGTGCTAAAACTGATGGCAACAGTGTCATGGGCTAGATGGAAGAGGAGCATAATTATTCAGTTCTGTCCAGGTCCATTCTCCCCGCAAACACTCGCGAATATCCCATTACTTGTGACTGAAGCTGTGGCATTCTCTTGGACTGTGGAACTGAGAATAACTGTACAAGAAGACTCTGGCCATGTTGTCTTTCCCAAACTAATACAGCACTGCACACAGAGGATTCTGTGAGAACGTGGTTTTTCACAGAGGAAGGAGAGAGTTAGAGATGGACATTCAGCTTCCTCATCATTTTGGGATTTTTCATAGCAGGTGCTCTCTTGTCTCATTTCATGGGAAACATCAGAGATTGGCAGGGTTGGGCTACCTGGAGTCAGTTAGAATAAAAGAATAAGAGGTGGGGCCCCTGTTAATTGGCACAGATCTTGGTGGTGGCTCAGCATTCCAGGCAGCAGAAGCAACAACCAGGAAGGTTAACCACTAACATTACTCTGCAGGAAATACGGTCTTTGGTTTTCCCAGGCCTAATTCCCTGGCTAGCCTCCCTATCCAGCCCTGGTGCTCTCCTTAAGCCTTTGCTAAGCCAGGAGGCAAGAACAGGTCAATGAATATTTGCTGAGGGGAGCATCTGGCCTCTCCCTGTCCTAGCATCTGAACCATTATTCCACTAAGCCTCAGGGCTCTGCTTGAGGCTACCTTAGGATGGGAGGCAAGCCCATGACCTCATAAATCTGTGGAACACAGCTCTGACCCCTGCATACCTTAATTGATTGAGAGTAATCCCAGAGCCTTGCTCAATCTTGGAGCTGAGCACATAACCCTGCCCAGTGACAGAACCCAACTGCAGTATTTGCCAGCCAGTGAAAATAATCTACAGCACCACCTGATTAGAGACGAGTACAGAGTTTAGTCAATAGCTCTGCCTTACAGCAGAGGACAACCAGTGATATGTATTTTATAAAAGCTTTATTACAGGCAGACCCTATGCCTGCTAAATACTGCCCAAGAAAGTGCCCCCAAAAATGTTTTTGGGTCAAAGTAGATGGGTACACAATCATGGTGATACTTTCTTAGATGGGGCCAGGCAACTCCAAGACCAAGTCAGACAAGGATAAAGTATCTGGTCTTGAATCTGGTATAAAATTCTGGTCATTGCCTCTCCTTGGCGACATAGTGTGCACATTCTTTCTGCATCTCTGTACACTATTGTGTTTTAATGTCTTTTTTTTTCTCTAACAGAAGACAAGCCATCTAGCTCCAGATGCTTCTAGGTCAGGGCTTCCAGCCTACCCCATCAGACAAGACGACCAGTCCTCTAGAGCGAGCAGGACAATGTTTTCCGAGGCCACCCTCAAATGCCATAGGACAGATAGCAAGAGAAAAATATATATCCAGCTCTATGCCCATTTGTCAGCTTCTGTAAGATGGATCTTCATCCATTCTATCCCCCATAAGATTACGGATATTTTCTCTTGAGGGGGGGGGATGTTAGGTAGGAAGTTAGAAATTGGCCTATGTATGTGAGAGGAACCTGATGAAAACAGCATCTGCAGAAGCTCACCTTGGAAGTAGCTCGGTATTTTATCCTCAAAGTCCTGCCCAGACCCTGATAAATTTCCAGGTGGCTCAGCCCATTCCCCAAGG